CAATCTCTGTTGGCCACGTGTACCCCTGAATCCAAATCTCTGCTCCCATGTTCCTGTCATACTGCTTCCTCCCCTCTCCATGTGGTCTGCTTCTACCAGCCTACCCTACTCTCCCGTGTGCTTCCCTCCTCCCTCCCCAACCTCCACCCCTGCAATCCCTGCTACTTGGCCTGGCCTGGGAGGACTGCTCATGCTCGGACCTGGGGGCCCCCGAAGCGCTGGATTCTCGTGCAGCCCTGTCTCTCAGAGGCACCCATGCCCATGCCCTGGGCACACACTCAGCTGCTGCCATCAGTCTATCAGATTCTCACTGGACCAGTTGGATGGGTTTAAACAAAAGAAGTATTCTTAACCACAGGGTCCTTTTTTTTTTTCCCAGGCATTTTCTGACTTGGGTTCTTACTGTTGGAGCAAAGTCAGGTGTGCATTTAGACTCAAGGTCTGGTGGGGGCGGTCCAGAAACCGCAAGACTCCTCTGCAAGGGGACACTCCCTTCCCGCAGACCTGAGCACTAGCAAACCCCGGAGATGAGTCTGGAGGGCCCTGAGATCTAGGGCTCTCTGTCTTAGAGGGTCTGGGCCCTGCCCCCATGACCTGAGGGCCTCATGCATTGGAGGAGCTCTGGCCCTTCCTGCATTTGGTGGTTACCCTCCGAGGGTCGGCTTCCAGGACTTTCCAGGAGTTTCCAGGAGTAGAAGGAGCCCTAACTGTCCCTGGGCAGAAGCAAATATCCTGAGGCCACTCCCTGCACCTCTCTGACACTTCGAAGCAGAATTTCTTTCCAGGAAAGCGGCCAGTTTTGCTCTTAAGGCCTCTAGCAGACTGGATGAGGCCCCTCCGTTAGTAAGGCCTCCCAAGCAGTCTCCCTGCATCCACACGGCCAATCTGAGCCTCACAGTTACAGCCTTACTGGTGTTTTGAATTACAAACCTAACCAGGGAGTCCCTCAATTTAAAAACCATTGTCCTTAAAACTAAAATCCAAACTGCTTAACATGGCCCAGGGCCCTGTATGGTCTGGCCCCATTCTTATCTTCACCCTGTTCAAGTATAGCCACCTTAGCCTCCTTAAAGTTCTTCCTCAAATAGCCCCGGCTTCCTCCTGCCCCAGGGCCTTTGCATATGCAGTCTGCTCTTCCTGGAATTCTCTCCCTGTGGGCCTCCTTCACCCCCCCCACAGGCATATAGGTGCACACACACGTAAACACAACACTTAATACACCCAGTTAACTTTTACCCATTTTTAATGGCCTATGTTCCTCCCCTTTAGAGCCCTTATCTTCGTATATAATTACACTTGTTTGGGCTATCAGGTGATTGATTCTGTCTCCCCCATCAGACTGAGCCTGGGAGGGCAGAGCTCATGCCTGTGTTTGCTCATCACGCATCCCAGGACCCCATTCAGTGCCTGGCACACACTCAGCAAATGAATGACAGAGTCAGCTAAGCATTCTGGGAGCAAGGGTGGATAACTTGACAGAGCAGTCCTCCTTCCACAGACTGACCCTACAGAGATGAGCTGCGCTCACCAGCTGTCCGCCCAAATCCATCCTCTCCTCTTGCTGGCCACACAACATGCCCAGCCTGCCTTGCATGGAGATTTGCCATGTGACTGAGGTCCAACGGGGGGGTGCAAGCAGAAGCCACGTCTGCCACTCCACAGCTTGGCCTTTCGGACCCTCCCAAGTGTGGACGTGGGACCACTGCACAGCCATTAAAAGGATGAGCAGATCCATATTAACTAGCATGGAAAGTGTTCATGTCAAACTTAAGCGAAAAAAGGTTGATTATCAGGGGCTCCTGTGTGGCTCATTTGGTTAGGCGTCCGCCTTCGGCTCAGGTCATGATCTCTGGGTCCTGGGATGGAGTCCTGCATCGGACTCCCTGCTCAGGAGGGAGTCTGCTTCTCCCTCTCCCTGTGCTGCTCCCCGCCCCCACTCATGCTCTTTCTCTCTCTCTCTCTCTCAAATAAATAAATGAATAACATCTTTTTTAAAAAAGCTGATATCGAACTACATAAACAGTGTGAACCTACAGATCAAAAATCAGATTCAGCGATCTTGGGTATTTGTGCAAAAAGAGATTTCCGGAATCATGTCCACCACGGCGCTACCAGAAGTTATGACTTGGTGGGGGAATTCCGTGTGATGTTTGCGTCCTTCTTTGCATTTTTCTGGAGTTCTACAAGAGTTATAAATTGTTTTGATATTAAAAATAAAGCTCTCTCCCTGAAATAAAAACATCAGGGGCCTCCTGTCCTGCTGGGATGAGGCTGGCCCCTCCTAGGCCACTCCTGGCTCACCTCCCAGCTCCGAGCCCCGAAGAATGTGGGGCGTGCCCCACTGCTGGTAACATTCCCAGCTTGCCTCCCAGCTCCGCGGACATGAGAGGAGAGTGATTACAGAGACGCACCCTTGGGTGTGTTCTTGGAGAATGGATGATTAAACCCATTACCCAATCCTCAAGAGTTTGTTCAAAGGAAGTATTTAGAGGTATTAACCACTATTTTGCATCTTTCATTCGGTATTTAGCAAAAAGAAAAGGGGGTGTCATTTAAAGGGTACCCCAGTCCCAAGAGGGAAACCTGGCCCCAGGGCCACCGCTGTGCCGGAAGCTCCAGGCATCTAGTTCTGGGCTCAGCTCTTGGGATGAGAGCAACCAGCCTACAGGGCTTGGCCCTTTAAGGAACAAAGACACACAGCAAATAGGCGCCCTCCAGGCTGGGGACATGACCACATGATTAACAAGGACTTCACTCAGCAGGAGCCCAAGAGCACGTCCCCTGCAGAGAAAGTGGGGATTGTCATACCTGAGCCCCATGAAGAGGCCGCCCAAGACCCTATCTACTCCCCCATGGCAGGTACCCCCGAAGTGTGAGGCGGCCCTCCTGGTTCCTGGCGTCTGTGTGCACACGTGCTCTCTGGCCACCTCCACGTGCCAGGAGCTGCACCTGGGGCTGGGCCCCAGGGGCCCCCTGCTCCCCTAGACTCGCACACCTGCTTCCCAGCTGGCCTCGGCTGCCCCGGCCTCCCCCGACCCCACGGACAACCTGTGCTTATCCCAACAGGTCAGAACTTTTAGAGCATCTTTCCTTTTCTGTGGGGTTAAGATCCAAATGTCCTGCTAAACGGACAGCCTCCTGAGCAAGGAGCTCGTGTGTCCTCCGCCTTTGTGGTCCTTTGCCGGGCACGATGCCCTCGTGTCCGGGATGATGGCAGGATTTGGCGGGTTCATGGCACTTCCTGACTGTGCCATCTCTGGGCTCACTGGGCCATGCGGCCCCCTCCCCGCCAGCTGCAGCACCCTAGCTCCCTGCAGGTCCCAGGTCCCAGAGCTCCGAGCTGTCCCTTGGCTCCAGGGGTGCCTGTAGCTAGACCTGGCCAGATGGGCATTGCAGTCCCCCGCCAAGCTGGTTGACTCAGGGCTGATCAGAGGACCCACCCAGCGGCGGAGATAAGGCAGGGCCAGGACTTCTGAGAGAGAGACCGGGCGCCCAGGATCTCTTTTCTGCAGACTCTGAGCCTGGGAGGGGTGAGGTAGAAGTCTGTCTCTCAATGAGGCCGAAACACAGAGGATGGTGGGAAGGAAACTGGTCCTGAGGCAGAACCGAGCCACCCCTGTGGGGACCCATCAACCCTATGAGCTGGTGATCCCCTTTTTGCTTGAGTCACTTTGGATCAGGCACCCATCACTTGCAACAGAAAGGGTCGACATGGATGTGTCTCCGTGCAAGGCTGCAGCCACACCAGCATCCCCGAGCCCTTCCCCGCCACCACTATCCCCCCGCCGAGGGATGCTGTCCCGGGACCTGGGCGAGGGGCCCAGTGACCCACGCAGTAGGCAGCTGTATGTTCACCTGAAGGGCGCACGTATCAAGGCCAACTAGTGCAGGGAAGTCAGTACCCGACCAGCATCACCGTGAGGGCTCCCTTCTTGCCCAGGGCACATCCTGCAGGTTCCCCCCACCCCGAAGCCTTTACTTGCGGGTCCCTTGGCCTGGAAGACCCTTCAATGCTCTCCCTTCTTTGCTGGTGAGAGTTCCATCCCTCCTTCAAAGGCCAGCCCCATGTTTCTTGCTGCGCAGTGGACCAGCCCCCCTCCCTCCACCCCAGTGCTCCGCCGGGGCCTCTGTCCATCCTGTCTTAGGCGGCAATCCTGTACAGATGCACCTGGCCTCCCAACTTCTCCTGGCAGCCCTCCCGCGCTGGCTGGGTGCCCCTTGGCCGTGGGCCCCTACGGCTCCCTCCCAGGTGGGCGGTCTGGCGGCTCCGGCGCTGGCTGGACACATACTCTGCGTCAGATGCTCCCCGCACCTCCCGTGTGCCCGGTTCTGGGGCACGGACGGGGCAGGGCAGCCCTAGACCTTCAGGAGCCTCCAGACCCCGCAGCGCCCAGCAAAACGGTCATTAAAAGGCAGCGAAGCATCCGTGACAGGGCTCAGGAGGTGAGATCTAGTGCATGGACATTGATTACTCAGTAGGACGATTGTGGGGATTAAGTCCTGCACATCAACCATGGGGACCATGTCTCCTAGCAAGTGCTCAGCAAAGTCCCCGCGGTCAACAAGGATCATCCAAATACCTACTCTGAGCTGACATCCTATTGGCCTTTTAAGCCTACACGTGCTCTCCAGAGATGAGCTTATTATTCTCACTTGGTGTAAATGTGGCCAAACGAGAGGCCACGGATCGTGACCAACTTCCCAACACCAGTCCCCGGCGGGAGGACAAGCACCACCGACTTGGCGCTGTCTTGAAGCCCTTCCTGGCCAGACACACAGAGCAGAGCCCTCTGCAAAGCCACCTGTGTTGGGGCACGCTCCCATGGTTCTCAACCCTCGAAACAACGCGGGGCCTGGGCTCCGAGCCCGCTGTGGGCCTGGTGGCGCCGCCGCCCCCTGCGAGAACACTCAGGGGTGCTGAGCGCTGACACCGCGGACAGGCGTGTGCCCAGGACCTTGCAGCTGGAATGCGCACCCCGCCCCCAGAGATGCCCTCCTACCTCCAGCCGCGTCCGGTCCACATCCTTGGGCAGTTTGACGCGAATTCGGTTGGTGACGATGAGGGCGTCATAAGGATAGATCTGTGGGGAGAGGAAAGGGCAGGTCGACCCCGGGAAGCAGGTGTGTGCCGGGACCAAAGGGCTGAGCCGAAGGCCAACGAGAGGTACATACTTGCGCCGGCATCGGACACACACATTTCATAGGAAACCACAACAAAAGGAACTTTTAACCTGGGCAGGTGCATGGCGGCGGGCAGAGGTCGGCGTGGCAGCGGGTGGCCCCTCTTACCTTGTATTCTGTAAGAGAGAGAGCAGAAGCCACGCGTGGCGGTTTAGAAAGCACAGGAACGCGGCCCAGTGGCGGAAGCAGTCCCGTCCTGGGGACCCCCCGCCCCACCCCCAGCGGCCTGCACCGGGGCGCTAGTCCTCGGGGAGCAGATTCCCCAGAGGGAACCCGAGAGCGGGAGGCATGGTCAGGAGGCTGGAGGCCAGACTGGGAGCCGGACGCAGCGCTGCGTTCCTCGGGCGTGATACTGTCTCCCTGGTGGTCCGGGCCGCCCTGAGAAAGCGGCCTGCCTCAGTTTACCCACCTGCGGAGCGGACCTTCCAGGGCAGTTTTGGGGGCATTGCAGAGACTGACAGCCGCGCAGGGTCTGACCCCTCGGCCTCTTACTCTCTCACCTTCTTGGCCTGTAGCTCCTCCTTTATATTCCTGAGCCCCACATGCTTGCTTTTCCAAAAGGCTTTTCTGCCAGACTAAAATTGTCATGTCAGAAAATAGACCCGTATGGATCAGAGGGCCTCTGTGAGCAGAACCCCCCAGAAAGCAGTACCCCTAGGATCTGGGCCGCAGGCTGGCCTTGGGAGGGAGACCCTGGCAAGGGGCCTGGGCGACAGGGGTGATTCGGTCCCCCGAATTTCCCAGCGGGCCACACATGACATCCTGATGACTTGGAGAGCCACGTGGAGGGAGCTGGCTGCGAGCCCCCAGTGCTCCACGGCCCAGCATGAGCCAGCAGCCCATGAGAACATGCTCCCCGCCATCCGGGGTGACAGGGGGGAGCGAACACCCCACGCAGGAGGGGCTCAGAGCTAGCAGAGCCCCCCCCCCGGTCAGGCACCTGCCATGCGACTGGAGTCATGCCAGGAACACCAGCCTCCCAGCAAGCAACCTTCCTAGTTTGAAGCCCAGGAGGCCCCCATGACCAGGAGGGGTGGGAGGCAGGATGGGACCCGAATTCATTCGACTCAGACCCCAGAGGTGTTATGTTGCCACGAAATGTAACCGTGGGTGATTGGGTTGGCCTCAGTCCTGGTACGGGATGGCTATTCCAATACACATCTCTCTCCCCAAGTAAGCAGAGTGACCAACAAATCAGGACAGGGTCGGCTGTTCTCAAGGATGAAGGGAAGGGAGCACCTCAGGCAACATAAGAACGGAGGTAACCGGCTCCTCTAGCCGAAACGAGCACCCCCACGCTCCCCCCACTGCGCGATGTTTGGAGCTTTCGCCAGCTGGCCCTGGAGGGGCCCGTCCCAGAATGAGACTTGTGGAAATGTGTAAGAGACCCCTGCCCCAGCCAGAGACCCAAGGGGGTCCCCGCGTCTTGTACCTCGCGTGCCCCAGCTGGCATCCGGGTCTGCTCCACAAGGGGCCAGATTGGCATTCTGGAAGAGAAAGAGAGAGGGCGGCAGGCGGCAGGTTGCAGGGGCGGGTGGTCGCGCCTTGGTTTTGCCCGGCTCCGGGGTGGGGGGCGGTGAGGGGAGGAAGGTGGGCTCCCCAGAGTCCCTGGCGCCTCGGCTCTGGAAGGGCCGTGCTGGGACACACTTGGCGGGTTTGCTCGCGTGCCTCCCCCCTGCCTTCCAGGCTGGTGTGGACGCTGCCTGGCCCAGTTCTCCTGCCCGCCTTTCGAGCCGCTCCTGCATGCCTGCTCCCTGCGCCCCGCGGCCCCCTAGGGGTACAGCCCAGCCCGGCGCAGAGGCCAGCCCGCGGGGGCCACTGCTCCCCTCCAGACCCCACGGGCCCCAGGCGCCCAGGAGAGCCGGTTCGTACAGCCCCTGGACAGAGCCCCGCGTGCCTAAGTGGCCGCGACAGAGGATGACCCTCAGGTGGAGACACTCGAGGGAACAGGGGCCACCGTCAGGTGCCTGCCCTCCCTCCTTGACGACTCCCACGGCAGTCGTCAGCAGACTCCGTGCATCTCCACCACCCATGCCGGGAATTCTCTTCCCTTCCGCCCGCCTGAAAAAATCGCCCCACACAACGCTCAGGAGGGTCTGGGCCCCAAAAGCAGGCACCGAGCCCCTGCATCTCTACCCCCCACTCCTGCGCCTGGCATGTACACCACGAGTCAAGCTCTGCCACGGCCTGTGGTCCACAGAGCCGCTGGAAGAACACGGTTCCTGCAGGCCCAGCACCTGCTCTGACACAGGCTCGGTGCTCTGGGCTGGCATTTCTGGGATCCCGTGCAGGGGTTTCAAGGGAGGCCTGCAGTCCCAGGGGAGAGTTGCGCCTTGCCCTGCTCGGGCGACAGGGAAAGCACGGTCAGCACTACTTATTGCGGTAGAGGGGCGACATGCACGGAACAGGTGTAGTTCCAGAGAGTGTGTGGGCAAGGGACGAGCCAGAGAGCCCCGAGCCCAAAGTCCTTCATCCCAAACAGGGGAGACAAGGGGGGTGAGTTGGGCAAGTACGTAAGTGGAAGGCTGGAGCCAGTCTCTATTTAAATATTTGGTGTTTTGTTCATTACGAATTTTCTTGCATTGACCTGGGCTTTAAAAAAACATCGCATTAGAACATTATTTACTTTGATTGTGGAGCCTTTTGGCAAGTGCCTCACTCACCTCACCTAGTCTCAGCCCTGGGACCCTGAGCCAGGCGCCCTCACCCCTACTGTCATGACCGTCACAGAATAATTCTCCTTAGGGGTTTGCAAGGACAATTTTTGAGACATTTTCTCAGGACGCTGAGAAGCATCCCCAGGCGCCCCTGTCTGGTCTGGAAACCTCTTCCTGCTTAAGGCAAGGCAAACCTGCCCTCTACTCGCCTTCTCCCACCGGGCCGGTCGGTGATGTGGAAGAGACATGCCTCCCCCTAGTGCCCACTGCCTTGCATCACAGGCCACTCAATCTCAGGCCACCACCGCCACCTCGGGCAGTGAGAGACACCTTTCCTAGCTGCAAAATCAGCCTCCTCTGGTCTGCCAGTCTCTGAGGCCAGACAGAGACTCCCAGGAGAGAGGGTAGGGCATCTTCGGAATGGAGAGGGGGGCACCAGATCAGTCCAGAGCAGGGGAAGAACAGCCCAGCCCCGCCTTGGTCCTCTAAGTGCCTGTGAGATCTTCAAGACCTCTCTGGAGCGAGGGAGCCTTGGGGTCACTCCTTAACAGGTGGGGTGGCCAGGGGAGCCCCACAGGCCCAACCCTGGCTGATTCCCTTGCAGTTCTCAACAGAGGCACTGGAGAATTGAAAAGCAACAGATTATTTACCTCTCCCATTGGTTTGGAGTTTACTAGGTGTCAGCTACCCTACAGACACATTCTGCAATATGTGCTGCGAGCCTAGGAGGTGGGCATCATCGTCATGGTTTTATGGACGAGGCTCAGAGAGGTTAAGGAATGAGCCCAAGATCATACAGCAAATACACAGAACTGTAAACATTGTAATCCATGTCTTTTGCTTCTCAAAAATGACACTGGAATTGTTAGTAGTAGGGATGAAATTGTGGCCGTTCACGGCCCATTGTTATTGTCTTGCTAAGACCTGTGTTGGAATATGCCACTTAGTAGCCACCACTGTGGAAGGAAGAAGGGGTAGGAACTTGCTTTTATAACAATTACTCTTGGGGGAACCACTCTATAGAGCTTACAAGAAGATTTCACAAGTTTTGACTGTTATTGGTCCTCACAATGATCTTAAGAGGTAAGGATAACTTTTTTAAAGACAGGAAGTAGAGACTCAGGAAATGTAAGTGACGTGCCCGAAGACATACAGGTGGCTGGTGGCAGAGCTGGGATTTGAACTCGGGGCTCAGTGCGGCACGTGTTCTTTCCAGAGTTACCGTTGGAAAATATCAGACTTCTTTATTAAGGTTTTCCTTGTACATAGGCATTTTTGCAAATGCTTTATGGACATGTGAAAACCTGATTCAAAAGATACAGATTTTTCTCATGTACCTAGTAGATGGTTTACTATTTGCACTATTAATTGCTCCATACGTCTTTTATTATTTTTTGTCCACTAGATCCACATGTCTGATTCCAAATGCCACATTCAAATTGCCTCCCATCTTGTATCTTATCAGGGTCCCTGGCACGGCCGTGCTGCTTGGCGCAGTTCCGTGTGTGAATGCTACACCTGCTGGATGGTGTGTGTCATCACAAACTAGTGGCTATTGCTATAATCTGGCAGCCTCTGTCTTCCAGCAGGAGAATTCAGTCTGTCCATATTTGCCATCAGGGCTTTTCTGTCGGTGGCCAGTGGTCGTTCTCTTACTAACAGACGAGGCGGCACACGTTGGGAGCCATGCTGCCTCATTCACAGGAATGCCTGTGACAGGAGGTTACCCCCCTATTTATTCCATAAGAGGAGAGCATCTACCAGGAGTAGGTTCTGTGGCAGGCTGGTTAGAAGGACATTTTAACAAACTCTGGGACTCAGGGTGGTGGCCCCTTGTGACAAATCCCTCTCAAAGCAAGAACTAGAAACCTCTCTCCCCTGATGAACTGATCTTCCTTCCATCAGACGAGAACTACATAGTGGGTCATGTTTGCCCCTTTGCCTTAGCTACCAGGAAGCTCAGAGCTAAGCTTCAGCGGTTTGGCTCATACAACGTTCTCTTACTTCTGATATAATTCTGATATATGATTTCTTTTAGAGCTTCCTCTTCTGCTCCTTTATGATTTGGGCTTTGTGGGTTTCCGATCTCAGCACACCTGTGTTTTTACTTCGGGCCACCTAGAATCCTTTCTGGAAGTGGAGACACACCAAAAAACAATCTAACAAGTGGCTTGTGAGCACTGTAGGCCACGGACAGTAGTGGGTGACCACGCCCACGTGCTGAGCATGGTCGTACCATAAAAGGCTGGTCATTCAAAAGCTCATTTATCTGGTCTTCCCGCTGAGAAATAGGCATAAAATTACATAAAGGTCTTAGAAAGTCTGAAAAAAACAGCAAAGAACCTTCGCAGGGGGAAAGAACCTTCGCAGGGAAAAAGAACCCCCGCAGGGAAAAAGAACCCCAAAGCAAAGTCTCCAATGCTAGTCACCAATCTCCCACATAAGCAACGTGAAAAGCTGAAGATCTTCCCATGAGGATGCAGCCCCCTTTGCCAACCCCCCAGCATCTGCAGGAAGCACAGGCCTCCCCCGCCTTGAGGCCAGCAGGAAAAACATTCACAGAGGCTCAGCTCTCGACTCTACAGCTCTAGCCTCTACTCTCACTCGTTCTGGGAGAAGGAGTGAAGACGGAGTCCATGATGAAATGTCTGGATCAGCTGTTCCCAGCTCTTTCGGGGGTGGGGCGTGTAAGGCCATGGTCTTCTCTGCAGGTGCTGGGGGCATCGATCCAAGTCATTCCAGCATGAACCAAGTAGGGCATCTCCCCAGAGGATGCGTGGCCCAGGCACCAACGAAGCAAGGCTAGAAATGCTGAGCATTCCTCCCTTGTCTTCCACATATTGAGGGACAGTCCCAGGACTTGGCTCGAGGGGTGGAACGCTGCCGCCCTCAGGGGCCCCTGAGTCCCAGAACAGCTGTTCCGGGTATGCAGAGAACATTCTGGACGGTTTCCCCACCCCCCCTCAGGATCCTTAACCCTGAGCCCAAGGATTGACAATTCCTGGTGCTGTGGGGGTCCCGTGGACATCCTCCTGCCCCCGTCCCGTGCCTGCCCGCTGTCCACTGAAGATGAAGAGTGCAGAAATCCTTAGAAGAAAATCGAGAGAAGCACGCGGCATGTGTGCCCTGACTCGGCCCATTCCAGAATTGGAAGTGCGATTAGTGGGAAGGTGGCTTCACTAGAGTCAAACCATGCAGAGGTGCCTGGGCCCCGACGGACACAACAGCAGGTCAGACAGGGCCCGAGGAAGATGAACAAGGCCAAGAAAACGCCTGCCTCATCCCTGTTCTTAGACGGGTCCCTGCGGCTGGGCCCCTGGATGCGAGGTGTGCCCTGGGGGCCGCAGAAGGCTGTCCCGCGCATTACACACTTACTGCCAAGACCCCTGCCGTGCAACACACGGGGGTTCAACCTCTGAGCACCTTCTCCAGTGGGACGACTCGCCCCGGTTGCAGACAGCAGAGAGGCTGCCTGAGAGGGGGTGTCCTGGGGCGGTGTGGGGGGGCTCTGGTGCCATCACGCCCGCCCCACCCCAGGGGTCCTCACTGGGGACTAGTGAAGCTGTGGGAGCAGCGACAGAAAGTCGCCCAGCCCCTCCGTGGGGACAAGTCAGGCGCCAAACTCTCTGGGTTGAAATTCCAATGTCCCCGGATTGGGAAGTCAGGATGGGGAAGTCCAACCAGCCTTTAGCTGGGAGCAGCCAGAGAAAGCCAGCTACGGAGTGTGGGATCCAGGAATAATTACTGGGCAAGTGGCAGCACTAGGGGTGACAGTAATGGCCATAGATGTTAATGGCACCGTTCGTGGTGACAGTCGTGAGGGCAGTGGCAGGGAGGGGCCGATGTACCCCAGGAAGGAAGTGGATCCGTGGTTCACATTGCTCACCGAGTAGCTAATCCTTTAAGCCCCTTATTAGGCTCCAGGTCACAGAAGAAGGATGTGGGTTAGAAGGGGCCTCAGGGGGTCGGAATACTCTGCGTGGGCCCTGTCTCCTGCTGCCCACCACACTGAGGTCTCCACGGGAGCTGGGGCTGGGGTTAGACAGGAGGAAGGGAGGGGGTCCCGGTTCTGGTCTGGCCCTGGTCTGCAAAAGCACCAGCACAGCCCCTGGGGCGGGGGCGGAGGGGCCTGCAGGCAGAGGTGGTGGGCGAGCAGGGTCCCCGGGCCCCTCCTTCCGGCCATGTGCTCAAGAAGCTGTAGGCACCACGCTCAGGCTCCCGGCGGGTGATGGTTAGTATACTGCGAGCCAGGGAGGGGTCGAGTACCTACCCGGTGGTCCAAGCCATTCTTTCCGTGTCCTGGGAGAGGGTCAGATTTGGAATAGGGGAATCCTGAAACAGACACATCACAGCTCTGTCACTCACGCACAGAGGCCGGCCCCCGGCCGGAGGGGCTGAGCTCGTGACACCCAGAAGGGCCCCCGAGGATCACGCCCTGCCTCCGTCATGACCTCCATCCCCAGGGTGCTGGCTGAGGAAGAAGCCGGCAAGGGCGTGATGCCCCTGAGCCCGCCTAGGACACCGGGAACATTGTGGCACCCTCTTGGGCACCTGTGTTCTCCAGCAGCCCCAGGTCTTGGCATCACCTGTCACCCAGGCCGAGCTCCTCACTCGGCAGACCCGGAGAGCTGGGGACAGGGGCAGGAAGGAATCCCCGCGGAGGGGGGGGTAGGGCTGTGCCAACTTGTGCCAGGGGTGGCACACGGGGGCCTGCCACCAACCAAAGGCGGCATAGGAACTGCTTTTTATTTTTTAAAATGATCTTGAGCTACTTGCCATTGGGGGATCTCACATTAAGATCCTAATTTCTGGCTTCTTTTGAAACAAAAAAGTCTGGTCTGAGACCATGGGAATCCCGCAGCTGATCCAGCTCTACCGCTCACGTCCCTGGCTGCCCTGCACGGGCCGCGGGCTTTGAGGTCTCCTGGTTAACCTCAGCAACAGGTCTGGAGAGAGTGGCGCAGAGGCCCTCTGCTACAGCCTCCTGGCTCAGGGGGAGGACACGCGGCAGAGCCTAGTCCCCCGGAGGGGCAGGATGCCCCCTCCCCTGCAGGGAGCTCCAGGGCTCCTTGCTCCCAGCACTCGGGCTGGCCCCCAGCAGCTCGGACAACAACACATAGCACCAAACGCTGGCACCCACCGCGGGAGCCAGCGGGCTGCCTGTCAGGGCGCAGCGGGTGGCGGATCACCCCTCCTGGTGTTCACAAGGCTGTGCGCATCCATGCGACCGAGCACCAAACCTCCAAAGGTGAGATGGGTGCCACGCACAGAACTGCCCACCCACCCCTTCCAGGAGGGCCTTGCTTCTGAGCCACAGAGGCTCATCCAGATGCCTTTCATCTCAGGGGGTCCTCATGAACTCTGGGGACGGAGACGACATTCTGCATGGCTCACGTGTGGAACCGGGAAACCTATTCTGGGCACATGTCTGCCCCCATGTGGCCTGTCGGAAGGTCCCGGATGGGAGTCAGAAAGGGCCTTTTGCCACATCAAGGTCAGGGTTCTCAAACTTCTTTTAACAAAGCCACCCTCTTGCCACACGAGAGTTTATGTAAACTCTGACCTATGAAAGAAGGAGGCAGGGGAGCTGGACACAGAAGAGGGGCGAGGGGCCAGACCCACTGTGCCGTCCCTGTTCCTCCCAGCCTCTCCGAAGCCTCCCATTCTATAGAGGGGGAAGCGAGGCCCCGAGTCGGGGGCTCTGCCCAAGGTCACCCAGCCCCGGGCTGCCAGACAAGGCCCCCTGATTCACAGTCCTGGGGTCCCTCCTAATTTACACACAGAGCCAGGCGCACTCCGAGATGTGAGGCTGTGCGGTTGAGGACCTGAGGGACCCTCCACTGAGACACAGGAGCTCCTGATCGACCAAAGATGCTGGAGCAGTGGTTCTCAAAGTGGGGTCCCCAACTAGCGGCATCAGGCTCGTTGGGAACTGGTTAGAGAAGAGGCAAATTCTCAGGGCCCGCCCCCGACCTGCTGCATTGGATTCCGGGGCTGGGGTCCCATGAGCTGTGATAGACAAGCTGTCCTGATGGACATTCTGATGGACACGAAGGTTTGGGGCCTCGAGAACAGTACCCTCACCTCTGTCCTGCGCCTGGAGGCACGTTGTCACCCAGATGGCTGTCACAGGGCCCCGTACTCAGGCTGCCACCTGCGGGCTCCACGTCTGACTGCTTCGCATGAAGCACACAGACCCTACTCCACGGAGGTCACTCTGTTCTCCTGACTTTCCAACGACAATTGTCCTGGGTGTCTCTTCTACCTACCTTGAGCGCCCATATCACATAATGTCACAAATTCTGCTTCAAACATCAGACAGGATTTCATAACCTCGTGGAAAGGAGAAGAGTCGATGATATTCACCCCATTTTTACCTCTTCGATGTCCTCTCCGTTCTGAAGCCCCGAGGCTTCTCTTATCATGTCCTCCTCTCTGCCTGGACACCTGCTGCCCGCAATTCTTTAAACCACCTCTACTCGTGAAAAATGCTTAGTGTTGAGAATTTCTTCATTTCCCATTCATTCCCGCAGGATAGGCTCCCCCGGTGCAGAACTCGTGTTGATGGCAACCTTCCTTCGGCACACGGAAAGCACCCCCTTTCCTCTGGCCCCGTGGTTTCCACAGAGACACCTGCTGTCTCCAGTCAGCCTTGTCCTCCAGGGAGTCTGTCTTCTGTTGTGGATGCTCTCAAGACCTGCCATCTTCTGTCTTCAGATTTTAGCGGTTCAGGATCATCGTAACTGGTTTTGGCGTGAACTCCTTTGGACTTGTCCTGTTTGGGGTTCTCGCAGTTTCCTGAACCTGTAGGTTTAGGTCTTTGGCCACCTTTTGGAAGTGTTTAGCCATATCTTTGAATGCTTTTTCCAGCCCACTCTCTTCTCCCCTTCCAGGACTCCACCGCGACAGATGTTGCCCCACAGACCTCTGGGGCCCCGTTCATCTTTTCCCTGCTGTTTTCCGTCTGTCGCTCAGACCGGATCATTTCTGCTGCTCCACGTACAAGATGGCTGACCGCTCTGCTGTATTCTGCTACGCTGTTTCTGAATCCATCCGGTGACTTTTTAATTTGGGTTATTTTATCTGTCAGTTCTATAGTTTCCATTTGATTCTCTTTTTTTGGGAGGGGCGGATAATGTCTAATTCTTTGCTGAAATTTCCTTTCTTTATTTTTGGGTATTTGTTTGCTGAAGCATTGTTCGGGTGGCTGCCCTAAACATCCTCGTCCGGGAACCCCGACATCCAGTTCTTAGTGTCGTATGTCTCTCTTGTCTGCCGATTCAAATCGTTATCTTCATGGCTCCTGGTGCGGGGGAGTAATCCTCCATATCGTCTCCCGGACGTGACATCTGGGGACACCGGATCCTGGTAGACCCTTCTACTGAAGGAGGTGCCGCCTGCTTGAGTGTGGCACATGGGGCCTGGTGTGTTACGGTGTGGTTCTGAGGACAAGCTGGTTTTCAGAACATGCTCTTCTGGTCTGCCGAGTCCAGCTGGGGTTCCCGGGACCAGCCGTGCTTCCCCGGTTGCTCTGTGCCCCGGGGGGGGGGGTGGGAGACACCGGCTGCGGTGGAGAGGGTCTCCCAGGCCCACCCTCCAGGCTGCCCATGCCAGTAGGCCTCCTGCTTCATATCTGCCGGTGAGGCTTGGGGAGGAAGATGCCTACCTGGCCGCCTGGTGCCACTGCATGGGAGGTGGGAGACATGGCTCCTTTGTTTTTCCTCAGGTCCTGGGGTCCTTAGCCAGCCCACCTTCCTCTTTCCACCCTTGAGATTTCTGCGATGTGTCTGCTCTATTGTTTCGGGGGTGGGGTGGGGTTATACTTAGTGGGGATGAGCAGGGAGAGAGGAGGCTCCATTATCTCCCCCACCCTGCCACCCCCAGGTGCCATGTAGACCCATCACACTTGGCCTCTCTGGGGCTGGGATGAGCCATCAGTAGACTTTAAAGGTCCCAGTGACCCCCCCCGCCCCCCCCACCCATGCAGCTAGGTTTGAAAGCCACTGGCTTAAAAAGTCCCTTTGCACGTGTAGAGACTTTACCTGACCCTCGTAGGCCTCTGCATGACACAGGACCTCCTTTTACAGGTAAGGAAGCTGAGGCCCCATGAGAATAATGGCCCCTACAAGGTGAACGTCTGCTCACGAAGAGGATAAAACGAGAGCTAGGACTTCTGGCTTCGGGAACCGGTGGACCCATCTGCGCCAGCATCTCTGCCCCCGTGCGGGTTGCAGGTGTGGGCATGTTCTGGGTACCTGCATGTCGGATGGCATCAGGTGGCCGTGAGAGTGTGCACTGCCTGTGTGCACGGTGAGAAGGCAGGTCTGCTGGACCTGGGACGAGGCAGCAGCTGGCCCATTGCGAGTCCCATCAGTCCTGTAAAGGCTGGACACCAGCCATCCTCACGTCCGTGCTCAGTGCAGACGGGCTCCCCTGCCACCTCCTCTCAGAAGCCCACCTGTGGTAGCCTTGTGCTCGGCATTCTGAGCACTGTCTCCTTGGGTCTGTAGCTATTCTGGGCTGGCTGGTCAGAGGTTAGGGGATCTGCTGGACATGCAAGGAGAGGCCCAGATGCCGCTGGAGACAAGCAGCTCGTCACCGCCTCCAGGGATGCTCTGTGCACAACTGCTCAGCAAGGCACTTCCTTGGGCGCATCTTCCACCAACGCCCGGATAAGGAACTTGGCAGCCGCATGGCCCTGCAGGGGTTTGGGTCCAGGAGGAGGCTGGAACTGCCTTCAGCTCTGAGTGCCTATGAGCAGGAGGCCCTAGGATGACCCAAGCTCCAGGCTTCCAGAAGTAAGCAAGACGGGCTCACCGCAACCAGGCCTGTGGACTTAACCAAGCTCTGCCGTGATATCCCCCAAGGCTCAGGAGATAGGTTGCCGGAGTGCTCACATGTGAGCCCCAAAGCCTAGATGCTTCCTGCCAGGAGGCCTGGATCGTGCCCATTTTTACACATGAGGCCATTTTAAACACAGACAACTTTGCTCTTATGCCCAAAGTCACACAGCAAGTGACAAGCTGGGATTCAAGCGCTGGTGGACCAGCACCCAGATCTGGCGCTCTCTCTGCTGGCCCATCCTGTGATCTCGTGGACACTGTTGCTACCTGTGTCAGCAGCGGTCACTGTCATCCCCTCCACCCCACCAGGAGCAATGCCGCGTCCCACGAAGGGAGGACGGTGCTGCTCCAGGAAGGCCCAGCTCCACCCAGTGCTCTGGGGAGCACTCACCGAGAAGCTGCCACATGCAGGTGAGGGAGGCACGGGGGCATCCTCACGGGACCCTGCTCCCCAGGGGCTAACAGTCCACAGAGGAGAAAGGACACAAA